TGTATCGAGGTGCCTTACTTGTCAACAAGTGAAGGCCGAGCATCAGAGGCTAGCGGGTTTGTTGCAACCATTGCCTATAGCCGAGTAGAAGTGGGAGCATGTCACAATAGATTTTGTTGTGGGTTTTCCTAGAACTCAGTGGGGTAGTGATGCAATTTGGGTGGTAGTTGACCGGTTGACGAAGTCAACGCACTTTATTCCTATGTGTGTAAGTGACTCAATAGATTATCTTGCTGACCTTTACATTAGGGGCATAGTGAGGTTACACAGGGTCCCAGTGACGATTGTTTTGGATAGAGATCCACGTTTCACAGCTCGGTTATAGCAAAACCTACAGAGTGCCTTGGGCACGAAATTGACTTTTAGCACGGCATATCATCTCCAAACAGACGGGCAATCAGAGCACACCATTCAGATTTTAGAGGATATGCTTCGGGGTTGTGTTCTTGACTATAAGGGTTCGTGGAAGAGGCACTTGCCCTTAGTGAAGTTTGCCTATAATAATAGCTTCCAATCGAGCATTAGCATGGCATCGTTTGAAACCTTGTATGGCCGACCATGTAGATCTCCTGTATGTTGGGCCGAGGTGGGTGATGCACCAATGTTGGGCCCAGAGGTAGTCCGAGAAACAACGGAGAAGGTTGCACTTATCTGTAAAAGGTTGGCTACAACCCAGAGTCACCAGAAAAGTTATGCCGACCGTAGGAGGAGACTCTTGTCTTTTGAGGTGGGAGATCATGTCTTTTTGAAGATATCACCTAGGAGGGATTTGATGAGATTTGGAAAGAGTGGGAAGCTGTCCCCTCGATTCATTGGGCCTTTTGAGATCCTTGAGCAGATTGGGGAGGTAGCTTGTCGTTTGGCCTTACCGCCACAGCTTTTCAAGATTCATGATGTGTTTCATATTAGCATGCTTTGGAAGTATGAGCCAAATCCATCACGTGTGTTGGATTGGACCGACTTAGAAGTAGATGAGGATACCTCGTATGAGGAGAGACCGGTAAGAGTGTTGGATACTTAGGACCAAGTCTTGCTAGGCAAGATGATCCCCTTGGTTAAGGTATTGTGGAAACATCACAGGGTTGAGGAGGCAACTTGGGAACGTGAGTTGGAGGTCCGTGAAATGTATCCGAACTTGTTTGTTAATGTTTAAACATGTATTGCAATTTTGATTATATTAATGAAATATGAAAGCATTGTATATGTTTGAAGGATATGAAAACATTGTGTATGTTTTGAAAACACAGATTCAATGTAAACATTGTGTATGTTTTGGAAAAATGAGTTGTGTATTCAGTATCAAGAATTCATTCATCATGTTAATGGGATCAAATGATCGGTGGATGGGTCATGAGGTTGAAATTGATTTATAATCATTAAGGTAATTGGTTAAAGCTTGGTTTTGAAACTTAATTGGTAATTTCGGGGGCGAAATTCTTTGAGGGGGAAGGTTATAGTGATTCAGGTTTTAACCCGACCCTTTTTGCATCTTGGACTCGGGTTTCTTGGTTCCATGTTGTTGTATATGTATTACTTCACTTGTATCTCCTTAAATTTGGCTATTGGGTTGTTGTGGTTGCATTTGGGACAAGTTGGTTGCTTAGTTTCCAAACTTTTGTTGCCCAGATTATTGCTCCTCCGCTCAAGCGGCACTTCTCGCGCTCGAGCAGGCTGTGCAAACTCTTAATACTTTTGCAGGTCTGCAAAACTACTGGGAGAGTGTATTCTACGCTTGAGCGGCATTTCCTATAAGTGGGTGTGCGCTCGAGCGGCCATTCTTGCACTCGAGCAATGTTCTTCTATCTGCAAAACTATTGGATGTGTGTATTCTGCGCTCGAGCGTCACTTCTTGCGCTCGAGCGGAACAACTTATTGTGTCTGACGCTCAAGCATCAACTCTTGCTTTCAAGCAGACTGCGCGTATATCAGTTCATAACAATCACATTTTATATCACTTTTCCATCTCTTTCTCTCTCTAAAACTCTCCAAAACCATAGATCTTGAGTTTATCTCTCTAAAACTCATCTTCTCTCTACTATTTCACCTAGATCCATTGGGTTCTCCACCTTAGTGCCTTTGAGAAAAAGATAGAGCATTCCTAGAGCTCCGTCTTGATCCGAACAAAGATTGGTTTCGGCACTTTTGAAGTTTCTCTCTTGCTCCCTTGGCCTTCTAAGCTTAAGGTAGGGACTTCTACACTCTTCTATGAGTTTTAACTTGGTTATTTGTTGGTAGGTAAGAAATGTTTAGGCTTGTTGTGATTTTGAACAAACCTAAGGTTTTGGGTTAAAATCAAAAGAGGGGTTTTCGAATTAACGTATTAGAAATGATTATGGGAGTAGATATGAGCTTATGTTGTGTTAAAATGGTTGATTTTTGTGTTTGGAATGAGATTGGGAAAAAGAAGGTCGTGCCCTAAATTGTCTTGAATAATTATTTTGCATAAATAATGAAATTGGTATTGGAAATATGAAATTGGATGGATGTTTATATAAATGATGGAATTAGATATGTATTATCTCGCACCTATGGAAATTTAGACAATTTATCTGTTATAAAGATTGTTTATCTATTTAGAAATATCTATTTTGGGCTATCGGCAGAGGGTAGCCAGGATTGTTGTAGAAATTGTATATGGATTAGGCAAATTGAAACAAATCTCTTAGCCATTATCATTGAATATGATTATGATTTATATAGATGGTACATGTATGATGTTTGGAAGGAGAAAGGAGATGTACTCCATGTTTGGGAGGAGAAAGGGATGGACTCCATTAAACTAAGTTGGCCTGTGTATCCAGGGTAAAAGTCTCGAAAACCGCGCGTATACATGGGTGCTGATTCACGCAGACGAAATTTTCGTAAAATGGCAAGTGAATGTATTTTGTATGATAATTATGTTGGTTGGAGGCCTATGGGGTGTATCCTCTGTTTGGTTGACTAAGTGAAGTGGGTATAACTAATGAATTGATATGTAAGTTTGACATAACATGGTTTTGGAGAAGGTTGTAAAAGATCTGTCATTTGGAAATTGAACATGTGCATCATACTTATATCTTTGTTAATATTCATATATTGGGTTAGATTGTTTCTACTAGGGTTTGGCTCACCCTACTTGGAAAATCATTTTCACGTGCTGGTAACATGTCTCCTCCAAGGACTTAGCTTGGAAGGACCTGGGAGCTAAAGGCTCTGTTTTGTCATTTTGTATTTAATATTTGTACAAGCCTAGGGTTTTATGTCACGCCCCAAAATTTGAGACCGCAAGAGAAATATATAAAGTACAACTCAAACAAAAGAGATAACCACAATATTTTAATATACACATATAAGTAGAGTTATAACATAGATAACTGTTTTGAGTTCCACTAGAGGTTTACAAAACACTGTCAAACCAAAAGGTAAAAGGAGAGAGAAAACAAAAACAAACTACTAGTCCAAATTCTCAAGTGAACCACGGCTCTAAAACTTCATCTTGATTGCCTTCAGGATAACCTTCCCCGTCGTAAGCTGCTTCTTCACCTGGCATGACACGTCATGAGCTTGGAATGCCCAGTAAAAACACACACACCCCCATATCTTCTATCAATTAATCAACCATACACAAAACAAATCAGGTAACATAACATACTTATATTAAGGTTTTATGAATTGGTAGTTAGACTGGCATCTAGAACCCCCCCCAAAGAGATCCTTCTACCCAACCACAAGGATTGAACACCGGACTATTCAGAACTCCCCTTTTTGCTACTTTGCAGACCTTACCACCTATGCCCACCTTCCAATTATTTACTTGTCAGTGGCATTGATGGACCTCAAAAGGGACGGCCAACAAGTGGGCTCGCTTACACCCAAATTGTGCCTAGGGCTCGCTTACACGCTGCACATACTATACCAAATCGTGCCTAGGGCTCGCTTACACCCTGCACATACCATACCAAAGGGCTTGCTTACACCCTGAAACCACCGCATAGAGTCTGAATACGTCCGTGTCAACCTAGGGGCTCGCTCAAAATGCTTACACAAGACTTAACTCATTTGGTATTAATCCCATCCTAATTCATGTGTATAAAATTGTTCTAAAACACTAAGATGAACGTCACCCATTGCCAACCCCTTATCATTTCCCATTTATTAGATCTTTTGCTAAGTATGTTAGTCACATTCGGTAATTCGGTCATACAAAAGAGTATGACAAAAACATACGAGAGGAAATATAGTCCATGATCATCATACATAAGTATAGTAAGGCAAGAAAACATCATTAGAAATGCTTTGAAACATTTAGAGACAAACAACATAATAGAACACAATTTCCAGCACAGTTCGGTTCTGCAGGGCTAAAAAGAACGCTTTGGTAAAAATACTTCTAGGTCAAATTAGGGGATGAAATTTCATAGAAACAATATTCAATCTATCTAGTTTTAGTTCCAATTTTCAGAAGTTGCACAGCCCCTCCAAAAATTCATCTAGAAACTTTATTCGAAAACCTGTCCAGATTTGTCACCCTTTGGGAAAACTAGTTTTTCTCTCAAACCACCTGATGGTTTTCACTCAAATAAAATCTGTTGGAAAGAGGACTCAAATTTATAAATTTTGACAGAAGAATCAACACGAGATGATTTTTCTATAATTTTATAAAATTTCTAAAAGTGGACTGTTTTTCAGAGACTCGGGACCAGATTTTTCAACAAATTATCCAAGCCCTAAAAACACACAATTAGGAGCTAATAAAATTATCACAAGCTCTAAACACACAAAATATCCTACAATAAATTCATATTTTAAAATTAGATAGATTTAATATTTCTTTTAAATTAGAGAAGTTGCAGCAGTGCCTAATTTCACAAATTTGCAAGACAATGACACTATATCATACCCACACCTTCACGCACACCAAAAACCCTATTTACCGTTAATTTGTAACACAAGAGGCATACTAGACAATAGAATGAGATGATGAAAGGATTAGAGAAGATAAGGGAGAAGTATGTTCTTACCTTCACCTTTGATTCCTTCTTTTTCTCTTCTTTTTTTTTTTTTTCTTCTAACTTCTCTACTTCTCTTGAGCCAACTCTCCCTCTCTCACCCTCTCCTTGGGCTGTTGAAAAACGTGGGAGTGGATTTGGGACAAGCTCTCAATTTATAGAGTGTAAGGGTAGCTTAATGACTAAGGGAACTAAATATCTAGATATTTGTTTTTTATTTTATTTATATTTTTTGTTTGTTGTTATCCAACCAACTTTTCCACCAACATATTATATATATATATATATATATATATATTTAAACTATGTATATATTCAAATAATAATAGTATTCTATTCAAATAAATAATAAATGAAAGAACAACAAAAACAAAAAAAAATAGAAATAAAAATAAAATGTGTGAATTAATTTAGAAATTATGAGGTAAAATAAATAAAACCAAGTTTTAGGATAGTTCCAATCATAAAGTGGTGTTCTATGATTTAATTATGGTAACACACGGAGAAATTATTCTTTACTTGGGCCCTTACGCAGACTTTTACGAAACTAGGGCTAAAATGCTATTAACCTAAGGCTCAAGGTTTCAAGTGTAATTACAAAAAATTAGGGTCTCTACACTTTATATGTATGGAGTTTAAGACTCTCTCTTTTGTTGTAACCAAGCATAGTCTTGGAAAGATGTAAACCTGTAGGGCATTTATTTTGTCGATCATTAAGATGGTATCACATGCTATAGATTCAGAGTAGAGCTTATCAATGTATATCGCATGTGTCACTTTTTTGTAAATTAACTCTGATTAATGAAAGATTACTACTTTGTTCCTGTCATTGTGTATATGTTGTTGGTGGCCAATTTATGGCATTTATTTCACGCTGTTACAGTGGTAGTTGCTCAGATGATATATAGTATCTAGTACTGATTATATTTTTATGTTTTCATGAGGTGTTATTTCATGGAAGAGTTGCATAAAACTTATTATGTAAGCTTGTTTTAGAGTTCGACTTGAGTTAAATACAATTAAAGAATTTTATTTCGGAGCTTAGAATTGTTAATTTCATCCCCAAACTTATAAAGATGTATTATGATACATGGTTTTAATTTTCTCTATGACAAATGATAAAAAAAAAAAAAAAAAAAAAAAAAAAAAAAAAAAAAAAAAAAAACTCTGATGGTGTTAAATATATAAATTTAAAGTACTTTAGAATTAGAGTCCTTAAAGATGATATTTTTTATGAGCACATGTTACAGAATATATACTAGTTGATCCTATAAATAAAGGGCTTTGGCTAAATTTAATTGGCTAAATATATTGGGCATATGAATACTTAACAATTTTTTATGTGCTTGGTTAAAGAAATTTTTACCCATGAATATTATCTATAGTGTATTTTAGTTAATAAAGTTTAATGTGTTTATTCACATTTTGTTTATAGTTATGTATGTACACATAAATGGTAGTAACTATTATGTATATATTCCTCTTATATAAACTCTTCCAGTATATTTAAATTTTTAGATATAACACTTTGGTTTAGAAGTATATAATGCTTCAGTTTACAAGTATATGTGGATTCATAAAGTCTAATGCTTGGTTTAAAGTATGAAAGACCTCGGTTTAGAGGTATAAAGGTTTCTTTTAGAAATGTAAAAAGGAATGAGATTCTTTACAAGGTCTTTTTGAGACCATACAGAGGACTGAATGTGGAGTTAGCATGTTTTATAGTTTTTGGATCAATTGTGCTGAAATTTCACACTACACTTTACCACATATAGAAATCCATGTTGGTGACATTTTAGTATTTGTAATTGTGGAAGGTGTTATGTTGTTAAATATGTTACAATTTGATATTAATATTCTCATTGAATGAGATTATGTGCTGAGATATTTCTATTCTGAATCATATTTTGTGGCCACTAAAGTTATTCAACCTGAGAGTCATTTTATTAAATAAAATATTTTCTTAAATTAGTAGTCAATGTGACCTAAGTGAGAGAATGTAAGAAATTTCTTAATTAGGCTGTCATTGACTATATTTTGTTTGGTTTGTGAAAAACAGGTTGAAAGTGATTCAAAAATATTGACTAGTATGAGTCAAAAATTATTATTATGATCCATAGTATATTTATTATTTTATATGTGGATATGTGATATGGATGTGTAAGACTTGTTTTAAGTTATTTGGATTCCTCAAGGGAGGGCTCAATAATTATTTTATTTAGGTCCAGTCCCTCTCCTATCTTATTAGAGTTTACCTATACTTATATATATGTAAATCAAAGGGTTATTAGTCTCATTGAAAAAACAACGTGAAAAATATAGGAGAAGGAAAGGAAGAGCTGGTGCTAAAGTTTTCCAATTGTGAATACCATCTTCTTTCAAGAAAGCAAAACTCAAGACAATGAAAAAATCAAACAGTATGTGTTCTAATTTATATTTTAGTAATTAATTATACGACTCCGCTATGTAGCTCGAAAATGAGCCCCCTGAATCGCCCGATAAAGGTGATTTTTGAATGTTTGGCCCAGTTGCAACATCGATCAATTGACACCATGCGCGAGAAATAGAAGAAAAGAGAAGAGAGGAGAGAGAGAGAGAGAGAAACCAGTCGACGAAGAATAGGTGAGAGCGACCTCCACTGAGATCGACTGGTGCTGACCACTAACGACCAACGAAAAACTCTACCGAGTGTCAATCACTGTGTTGTTCGCCGTTCGGCAATCTTTGCTTGGCAATCTTTGCCTACCGTCAATCACTATGTTATTTATCGACCAGCGAAATACCACTTCGATGTCAATCTGAATTACTCACTGTACTCACTGTCTGTCTGTCAATCTCTGAATCTTGTCGTCCGTCCTGAATCTGTTGGTGCGTTTTTTTGTTTTTTTTGTTTTTTTTGTTCTTGTAAATTTTTATTTTTTTGTTAAGCTTGAATGTGGGGATTAGAAGAATGGTTCTCTATGTTTGGGTCTATGTGGGTAGATGATTTCAATTAAAAAATCTGTTTTGGGTCTATGTTTGTTTTGTTGATTTTCTATGTTTTGACAGGGGATTAGAATAATGGTTCTCTATATTTTGTGTTCTTGGTGTTCACCTTTATTTGTTGTATAGCTTGGCTCACTTATGAATGCAGACTATATTAAGGAAAGCTTGTCACTGCATTATTGCATAGTCCTTTTATTTTTATTTCTTATCTTGAATGGAATTTTCAAATTTTTTATCAGTTAGTTGCATGTTTTCTAGACTTCTATGCACAGCACTTTGCAATAATCAAAGTAAAATCGACATGTGTGTGATGTATAGCTATACAGCCTTGTTCTTCTATGTGTGATGTATATGTGTGTTTTGGGATATGTCCATAGATGAATCTGTGTATATACAAACTGTGATTTGAATCTGTCTATAGCTAAATCTGTTTTGGCATGTGTGATGTATACAAAGTTGCAGTTGCCTTGTTCTTCTATAGCTGAATCTATGATGTGTCTAAATCTGTAGTGGTTATATGTGTGATGTACTCACTAAATCTGTGATGTCTCTACATCTGAGCGGTGTTGTAACGCCCTCAAAAATATACCCATTATATATATCATTGACATGCATTATTTAAAGAAAACACTTTAATAATTCATTATAATATCCATCAGAGTCTTACTAAACAAAAGCATTACATGTAACATCAAAGTAAATGCCCTACCGGCTTACATCTTTCCAAGCCAACACTTGGACACAAAGTATGAGTTCTAACTCAAATATAAATAAAGCCCTAGGCTTGAGTGTTTACATGTACTAACAATAAAAAAAACAAATAACTAAAAACAGTCTTCAAAATCCAAGTCCTTCCAAGCTAAGTCCTTGGAGGTAGCTTATCACCTGAACCTGAAAATGATGTTCCCATAAAGGGTGAGCCACAGCCCAGCAGAAATATACTAAACCACATATAAGCAATGAATAAAGCAATAGCATTCAACAAATGGTTAACCAAGATAATCAATTACTTCATTTTACAGTCTCATAACACTATTGTCCAAGATACGTTTTACTTCCCAGTTTTATCAACATGGCTCAGAACCTGGACAAACTTACAACAGTGAAATTCATATATCATATTCACATTCGGAATGAGATTCACCCGTATCAATCAAACCTTCCAATATCAACAAACAAATGAGACTCAAGCTCAAATCAAACACCTTCATACTTCCAGATTGATACACATTTTAGTGCTGTATCAATAAAACACTTCTATATAAATAAGCACACATAAAAGTGATGCTAATGGAGTCCATCCTCTATCTCCTCCCAAACAAAATCCGGTTTAGAGGTCCATCCCCTATCTTCCCCTAAACCGTGGAGTACATCCCCATTCTCCTCCCACACAAAACAATGTATGCAAATGCAATGCTCAATCAATCACCGTATTTTCTGTATCAATGCAATAGTCTAAATTAATGACTTAACCAATGTGATTAGTTTCAGTTATTCCTAATCCACATGCAATGTCACAACAATCACGACTATCCTCCACCGATAGCCCAAAACAGTTATTTCTAAACTGAAAATAACTATGTCAACAATTAAATAGACAAATGATTCAAATTATCCAACTACGCATTTAATCAATGAATTCCCCAATTCCATGAATTTAACCATCTTTTCCCAATTCATGAATTAATTATACAAATTAATTTAATAATACAACTAGGGTTTTTCCCAAAATTTACCAAAGTATCCCCAACATATCAAAATACCAAAACTTAGAACAAAACCTATAAAATGGAGTAGGAAATCCCTACCTCGAAGAAAAAGCCCAAAAGAGAAGATGGAGATGAAGACCCAAACTCCAAAATGCTCCAAACTACCAACAATTCAGATTAAATGGAAGCCCTCGAGCCACTCTATCTTTTTAATAAAGGATCTAAGGTAGAAACTCACTCAAGTACATCAATCCTAAGAAAGAAGGTGGTTAGAAGAGAGAGAAGTCGGACCTAGGGTTTGGAATCAAAAGAAGATGAAAAAGACTGATCAAAACCCGCTGCTGCGGTATATAAACTAGACAGGCTCGCTCGAGCGAAGACTTGGTCGCTCGAGCGACCAGACACAAAATCTAC